TATATATATATATATAAAATTTATTCTGTAGAGCTATTCTATTTATTCCTGCACTATTAAATCTTATATACATCTATATAAAATCTTTTTTATTGGAAAATCACATTTTCCATTAAATTTCAGATACCTTCTTTCTACAGAAATATAAGATACCATACAAAGAGTGAAAAACGAGATTTTTCAACCGAATGAAACGATAAAACAGTTAATATTTAGCCAGAATTTGAAGAATGGAGTTATTGTTCATGTATTCTTATAAATGCATAAAAAAAAGAATGCACGATCGAAATTGCGAAGAAGCTGATGAAGAAGGATTCTCATATCAGGCTACCGGCGAAGTGTCGTTTCGGCGGAAATCCGTGCTTCGCGGAATGATATTTCGCTGGATTGGCGGGTTCCAGAAACGATCGGAGTTCGCCGCGACACGAGTTCGACTTGTGCTCGTATCCGCTTCTACGGAGTTCGAGGTGTGATCGGAATATAATCGATTCGCGCGAATTATCCCGGAGCGTCTCGTTGCTGGATTGTCAAACAAGTCCGGCGGCGTTGTGCATAACAATTCAATCCGTATTTTCCGAGCCCACGGCACCTTTGATGGTTCAACGGCATATTTCCGCGATCCACTGGTCCTCTTTTCCCGTACCTGTTGATCATTGTTAAATTGAAGAATTTCTTTGCGCGAGTTGGCGCGTCTTTCATTTCACGCAAGAGAAACGGAATAAGAGTATCAAACATCAAGAATTATGGAATTTATTTACAATTCGATGAAGAAGGAGATCGAATCTATTCTCACATTTGAAATTCCACAGATCCGATTTATACAATAGAGAAATTTTGTTTCTGTATAATGTTTGCAATCATTATACATAATAGATAGTTACTCCTGCATTCTGAAAAATATCTATGAGATAAGAATTTAACACCATGGATGTGTCTACATACATAATTCTCATCGTGTTGGTGTTAATATTAATACCAAAACAATAAGATTTTAACAGCAGATATTTTAAATTCACACCTGATGATGTCGATATAAACACTAGAGATTTAAAATCCGCATTATGAAAATATTAACATCAACATGATGAAAATATAAATACTGCATAATTAAATCTACATTCACCGATTTTTTATTAAAAAAAATGTGTAATTCATTATTTATTTTAATATGGATACTATTATAATAGATACAGAAAGTATAGACGATCTAAAAATCAGAAAGTTCAGATAACGTCTCATAAAGATTAAGCAGCAGAGGAGAGTCTGAATTTTAGATATATTAAGATCATAATAGTTGTATCAATAGAGCTGGTAGCTAAATGAACCCGCGATAGCGTTGGTGCAAGCGATACATAATTAATCGATTTTTCTCAGTCGTCGTTTTACTTCGATTGGCTTTTATGTCAACTTTTCAATCATCAAAAGCGCGAGTGAAGCACAGCACAGCTGGAGCACAGTGAAATGCTGCCTTGTTCAGGTCGTATGCTAAACATTCCATTACACAAGCGGAGGATCGTGTCAGAGTTATGATATACAATCTAAAAAGAAGAATACCTTCGGTATCTTTAAAAAGAGGTGAGAGATTCATTTATTTCTCCATACGTACGAATCCATCGCGACGATTTACGAGAGCGATAAGCGTGATTTCACCGCGAGGTATGCGGTGATCTTTATCAGCAAACGTAAGTGAGACACATAACAGGTATAATCGCGGTGATTGAACCACGCGGACTATCTAATCGCGGTATATCGCACAGGGAGTTTCCGAAATGCTTCAGCTGATAAATTTCGCGAATATCGCCGGATCATAGCAGAACTTGGTATCATACATTCTTAAATTTTAATTTCAATATTGCAAATAATTTTAAGAATAAATACTTCATACACAGAAGTTTGCAATGTTACTAATATATTACCGAAATGTCGCAATGTTATTGTAATATTGCTGGAATGATCTATATTGTATGGATCCCTACATATTTAAGAATGAAGCGAACGATGAAGCGAAATATTAGCGATGCTATAGTTCCTTTTCAACAGCGCCGTTTGAGAAATCAGTGATAACCCAAACAACACCTAGTCTAGAAGACCGTTTTATAATGTCTTTTAAATAGAATCGTATTCATAGTCGTGATTCAACCTCAGATCCGAGGTTAGAGCTAGGTTTAAATCAGTCTTTTTGAAAAACGCTTCTTAAATCACAATTTAATAAATCCTCGCTAAAAAGAGGATCAATCGTGGATCAATCTACAATTATAAATATAGACGTATATTTCAAGAGAAACGTCTTTATGACGTCTTTTAGGCCGGTATTTATCATAGTTCATACTTATTTCAAGATCATCTTAAGTAATATAACTAAGTAGCTAATACGGTTCTGTGATTATAGTTCATAATCTTAAAACTGTTAGGGATCTTATAAATATAAGAATTGACTATGAATATCGGCCTTGGACACGCTTTTCATCTGGCAAGCTACATTCGTAGAATTATTTGCTGCCGATTAAACAGACGCGAAATGTCAATTAAAATGTCTCATATCTTTAGTCATCGTTCAGTACAAATGTACACGTGCAATTTTTCGAAAGAAGGCTCACCTAATTGAATGAGCAATATTACGCTCCTAAATGCGGTTTCAGAGCACCATCTGTCCCGAAATGAAATTCCACGAGACTACCGGTAATTTCAACGGAATGGGGACCAGAAGATCCAGGCTTATACTAAAAAAAACTTACCTCTAATGCTGTCACCAAGCCATCCGCTGCGATCAGCAACAGGAGCAATGCACTCTTTAGCAACACACGGTTCTTCATCTTGCCGCTGGCCGTCTGTCGCGACCGGCAAGGAGTCACTTCTCGACCTCTTCGCCCTCT